GTTCATCTCTTTTTACATTACATTTAGGTGTTCCTGCTGAACGTGTTGCTGGTGATTCCGTGGATGAACTTTTGCGCAATGTTGAAAGTGGAGGATGTGTTGATGAACATCTGCAGGATCAGGTAGATGCCAATTTACCCGCACAGAACATCAAAAAGCCATAACAATAATGCAATAATTTTGTGTTGTTCACCTCATTGACAAATTGTATAGCATTTTAAAGATTATTTTCAAATTCTTGTTGCCTTTGTTATGAAACATTACGTATTGCTTTGATCCTTTGTGTTTTTTTTTTCTTACAGTTAATAATATTTATGGCTCTGGCTGCTGGGAAGTCAAGAGTGAGATCAGGTCCACTGACCATGCATACAAAAACAGCCATTCACATTGCAGAATTGGTCACCAAGGTAAYTGAAAATCTACCCACAATGCATTAGGGAGGTGGTAGCAAATTACAGAACACGTCTTTGGCTACTAAGTCATGTATTTTATCTTGTTATAGGCATCATTCACCGTTACACCATGTGGTACAGACAACAGCCCTGAGACATTTCTGATAGAATGTGATGGTATAGGATTGATAAATGAGAACATATTTGAATAAAATACTTTTAATAAATTCTTTAACATGTTGTGTTATTGTGTCCATTATATGGTATATTACATTGTAAGTTATATATGAAACATCAAATCAAAAAATTTGTAAAGGTCATCAATGTGACTACACTACAACTTATTTATCAATTAATCAATTATATTTACAAAGTATTAAATAATACTTAATGAAGGAAGCCACTTCATGAAATATGAAACCACTGGTAAGCTCCTTTGTTAAAGGAGAATATTTGTTCAACATTTCTAGATCTTGATTCCTGTGATGATTGGTTTAAAGCTAGGATATGAAAAAATTTCAAGACTCATTTAAATTTTCTTGCGTTTGTAACTTCAGTCAAGGCATTCATTCATTTTCCAACTGTAAATCATAGATAGAATGTTTGTAAATATAATGAATTCTTTCGTCTTTTCTATCTGTTTGGCGCTCATGACCAACAGGTAGAAATAATCGTAGACTTTGAGGTTTCTTTTTATCTGTTAAACCTTTGGTAATAGAAAGGAAAACTTTCTTTCTTTCAACAAAACCTGGTACAATGTAGAGTTGCAATGGTGTACGATTGTTGTTGTTGTGGTATATTGTAAACATATGTTCTACATCTTTTGTCTCCAAGCGAATGCAATAGATGCTGTCTAAATCATTTATTACTATGAAGTCCTTTGTCAAGAAGAGTATTTCACAGATGCCATGACCAGGGTTGCGACCGTTCAGATAATGCTGAAAACTTGCAAGTTCTGAGTAGTCATTAGTGTGAAGGACTGTGATGAAATTTTTGTACACAAATGCCAAAAGTTGTCCATCACTAGAAAATTTTATTGCTTCATACTGTAAGTGTTGTGGTTCTAGTTGTTTTTGTACTTCTTCTGGTGGTAGTGTACTTTTCCTCCATTCACTATGTTTCAAAAATAAGCAATTGCATTGTGGCACTCGTTGTCTTGGATAAATTGGCATCTTTATAAATTCACTACTCTCATCAAAGTGGCACAAGAAAAGTTTTCGACACTGTATGGGAGTATTATGATTATCCCCTTTCCCCCAGATCATTTCTTCAAAGACAGTTCCTTTGTCACTTGTGATTATTTTTTGTGTAGAATCACGCATAGGGAAAAGAAGACAAGCTCTCCCTATAACAATGTGACCCTGACTGCTAACAGCTTCAACTTCATCATAATGATCAATGTCAACTGGCTGGTGAGCTTCCTTTCCAGTTTCTCCGTCCATAACATAGATCTTGTTGTTGTGGCATCTCATAACGATGTACCAGGGCTGACTACCATATACATGACATGACCTGATAACATTAGGTGCCTGGTAACTGGTTTGTAATTGGAATCTAGCAGCATCCATAATCTCAATGTATCCTTTTGCTAGCACTGGAAATGCAAAAATATATTGATTGTCAGGAGACATGCATAATTTCTTGTGCCCACTTAATGTCTCTTCAATCAACAATTTTCCATCCACTTTATATTTTTGAACCAGAGTTTCTTTCTTTGCACTATTGTAGTCAAAAAATAAAAATCCATTCTCACAGGGGAGAATGTTTTGCACATCAAATTGCTTTGTATCAGTCATATGCAACTCCATTACAGATTGTTGTCTTTCTTGGTAAGGAAAGCCATATTCCTTAAGGAGATCAATTGGCTTTTGATTAAGCTGCATCCTTCTCGTAATGTGATTAAGATGGAGACTTTGTAGAACTGTCTCCAGGAGACGAGAAAGATTAATTGGATTATAGAATTGACATTTTTGAAAGTGGTATCTCTTGGTATATGTAACAATGTACTTTTGGACACGCATTATCCAATCACCTTTATTAAATGCTTTATAACCCATCCAGGAAATTAAATGGCTCTGAGTCGAGTCTTGCTTAAAAAACTGATCTCTGAGGATAATAAAACAAAGCAACAAACAGCTTGTTTTAGTAGCAGTTCGTTTATATTCACTAAAAGTTGGACTATCCATGTACAATTTTCCAAATCTCAAAGCATGCTCTTCTCTTTCAGTAAAACAAAGGGGCTGCTCTAAATCTTTTGACCCTTCTTTTATGCTGTTTAGGATCTCATAACATGCATTGGCAAGCACTCCACTGCCATCACCTTTCACTCTAAAGTCATGATCTCCAGTGGTCAACCAATCAATGACAGTCTTGTGAAATGCTGACACATGATCATTCTCAACAGGAAACAGCTGGTGCAGAAGGTGGATGGCTTCTTTTCTCTCTCTGTTTGGAACCCTGGGCTCATCAACAAGACCAACTATGTCATAAAAAATGTTCTTCTGGATTGGATATTTAGCTTCCACCACAGCATCCAGCATCTCAAAGAAGCCTTTTTCACTTTTTATGTGAGGTATCATTGCTTTCCTAAGTCTTGAGAAGTAGTTTTCATACACTGATGTGATACCCTTTCCTTTTGGAAAATGATCTATTGCTTCTGTTAATGAGGAACAGTTTCTGTCTCTCAAGAAATCAATGACAAAAGAAGCCACCAAAAACAGCCCATTTGTAACATCAACAAGATGATTGATTTGCCTACTGTGATGACCTGAGAAACGGTAACCAAGTTCTCTCAATTTTTCAGAAAAATATATGCGAAGGTCGCATTTATTTTCATGAATGTCTGGCTTAATCTCAAGTGTGTGGCCAATGTGGATAGCTGAAAAACTGGGTGGTGGTCTTGTTGTCAAAATAAATTGGAAGAAGGATGGTAGATGAGGTAGATCATTTAGAACTTCAAAAAATTGTGTTTTTAAACTATTGCAGCACTCATCTAGGGCATCTATAATGATCACTACATGACGTTGAGATCTAAGTGTAGAACAGGGTTCCTCAAATAACAAGGTGAACAGTTCTTTGCAGTTAAGTTTGGAGATTTCTTTTCCAAAGTCTGTCTTCAGCTGCTTCTCCACGGCAGCCTTATAGTCTGGAAGAGAATCACACAGTTGTCTTGCAACAGACTGCAACATTAATCTTGGATCATTATGCAAAGAATTGTCATGTTGAAAAAAATGGCAAGCACCAAGATTTCCTTTTTCTTTGTAAAACTGGCATAATTTAGCAGCCACCACTGATTTTCCCATACCAGGTCCAGCTTGTAATACAATGCTTTCACGTGTGTGTTTGTGTACGTCATCAAAAATCCATTTTCTAGTGCTTGGGTGGTAAGACTGACAAAGCTTAGTTACTCTGGTGCTGAAATCACGTTGAGCAAGTTTATCAATTTCCTGGTCCTCTGGTTGTAAACAGTGTGGTATTCTCTGTTTAATCTCAGCAACAATCGTCTTTGTCTCAGATATCTCCTGTTTGACCTTTTTTACATCCAATCTGCTTTCAGATGTATCTTTATAAATTCTTTTCAGCTGTGATTTAACATTCTCATCTGCCTGATACCATTCGTCAAGTAACTGGTTGTAGTTATCAACTCCCAAAGGAGTTGACTTAAGAGCATCGATGTCATACTGCTGCAATCCTAATGAAACGAGAGCTGCTGAAATCTCTTTCCAGTACTTCTCAAAGTCTACATCATCCACCTCAGCACTTGAGTTATGAGCAACAACTTGATTTCTGTAATACTTAATTCTGACAAGGTTAGCTTCAAGACTGTTATCTGTTGATGGTGGCAAGACATCCCAACCTGTAGCTGGTTTCACAAGCCCACAAATATTCCTCAAAAGAACAAATAGTAGAGTAATGTCAAAATTACTGGAGTCAGCAAGGGCTGCTGGATATAACTTGCTCCACTGGTCATTGTTCAATACTCTTCCTTTTGGTTTCTTGAGTTTCAGTAAATTTGGATGCTCCTTGGTAAGGACTGTTACCAATGACGGACATCTCTTATCAAACTCTGACCTCACAGCTTTTGATCCACCATGATACAGAAGTCTGCACAGTTTGGTGTAATTGATTTTTTGCTTAGTCTCTCTAGTCCAAAGTGGGCCAGACATTCTTGAGCATCTTTAACTACTGTTGGTACTTCTCAACCTGATAATAATGATCATTAATGTATTACTTTGAGCCAGACATAGACATGAGCCAGACATAGAAGTTTACAATCTGGACATCCTTATTTAAAAAGCGCATAAACTCATTTAGATTTTAACTACCAATTCCAAGATATGGAATCTTAGTTACTACTAAAGATTTTTGAGCATATATCAAAGTCTTGAGATATTGCTTCATAAAGGGAAGACGGAATAAATTTGCTGTAGGGAATGACTTCAGGCAGATTTAATAGAGGACTACTAACTATGCTTCATCTTACTGGTAAGTACTTACTCGATTCACAGCCAAAATTACACCATCTTAATTCTTCCCTTCGAAGGGACCAAGATGTGTTAACTAAATCGGACTACATTTTCTTTGAGGAAAAGTTTGCCAAAATGTTTGTTGTCCCCTCGAGATTTCACTTTCAAGGCGGAAGTGAATTCACGTGACCAAATTTGTCATGTGACCAAAGCCGGGTACCAGGTCCCCAAACTTCCCAACGTAGGGGCGTGGTGAAGAGGGTGCGGTAACAGCACCAATCTCCACAGGTGGCCCAGGCTCAACGGTTGTGTTGCTTTCACGGCGGTGTCAAAGTAGGGACTTTAAGATATGACGACTACGGACTACARACTACGGACGTGAGTCATTATAGGACTGGGACGAGTCACGCGTGTAGCCTTCTCCCACCGTCGCGACCTTGCGACGGTGAGTAGTCCAGCGTGTTTGCGTAGCGAGTTCGTAGGACACTACATAAGCGCAAAAAGGTAGGAAAAAAGATATTTAATGCATAAGTTACCAGGATTCGTGAAAGATTTGCTCGTTAGCTACGTTTTTAATTCAAGTTTGGACTTTTTATTTTGAGTTACAAGTCACTACTGAGCTGTTTATTTCTTCAACTGATTTTTGCCGCCAAAGAGGCCAAATGAATTCGTTCACTAAACATTTTATTTGCTGAAWTTCAACAGAAATGGCATCTTTACAAACCAATAAGTAAGTAAACCAAGCACTTTTTTTCCTTTCAATGCGTTAACGATATAGCTATGACACTCAACGAGATTTTCTAAAGCGTTTTTTGATGTATTTTTCAGCACGACTGTTCCATGTGATATTTCATCTACAAACATGCCAACTCAAAGTATGCTAAGGAACAAGTAAGCTTAATTCATCAATCTTGYTTTACTACGTAGAAACTAATCTATTACCTTCTTTATAGAATATTCTTTTTGTTTGTTTTTGTTTTGCTCTACAATCCTTTATTTTAAAATCGATTTTCGTTGAAAGCTGAAGTCTTTTTTTAAGTACATTTTTCAGCAAAGTGGTTTTTCCCAGAAATTGATTTTTTTGAGAATGAACTCATTTTTAAAGTAAAAATGTTAAGAAATACACCTCAATATATTTTCTTTCGTTTTTATCGTGTCAGGATGAGTGAAACTCGTGCTTGTTTACTAAATTAAACTCTAATTTTCGTCATGTTTACATGCATTGTGTAATAAAGCTTAACTGATAATTTTTCACTTGAAATAAATTAATTTGATTATAATTTGTTTTTTTAGTGGAACTTTCAGATGGGATGAGAAGAAGGATAAAATACTTTTGAGAGAAGTAAGGCTAGTAGAGCCATACCTTTTCAAGATTGGAAGCAAGGAAGCTGGTCAGAAATGGTCAGAAATTGCATCTGCCCTGAACAGCCATGCAGACTTCAGGTCCAATCCAAGAGAGCAGYGATCTGTAAGGGAGCGTTTTAACAAAATATTCGCAGAATTCAAGACAAAGATGAGAAATGAGGAGAATGCCTCTGGAGTCGCACCTGACGAGTTGACTGAAAATGAGCAGCTGTTAGAGGAAATAAAAGAAATCATTACATCTAACTCCAGCAACCCTCAAAAGTCAGCAGACCAAACAAAAGCGAGTGAAAGAGAAAAAGCATTAGCTATGAGGAAAAAGTCCATGGAGTCATGGGGGAAAAGCCAGAGGAAAAGCGAATTCAAGATAGATGATGATGATGAGGAGGAAGAGGATGATCAAGTTTTTAGAAGGAGGAAAAGACGCAGAAGGAGTGGATCAGACCCCCTGGATTACCTACAGATGAAAAGAGAATCTGAGGCAGAATTTAAGAAAGAAGAGATGGCTCTCTTGAAGGAGAAACTTGCCCTGGAAGACAAGAAATTACAGATTGACCAGGCAAAGCAAGCACAAATGCAAGACCAGCTTTTATTTCAGCAAAGGCAAATGCAGCAGCAGATRGAAGCTCAAACCCAGTCCCAAGCTCTGATTCTTGCCTTTTTACAAAAGATGAATAAGTGATAAGTATAGAGAAGTGATCATGTTATCTGCTTTCTTATAGCAAGAGTTTAAACACAACAGTTGCTGTTTTATTTTTCACTTGTATTATAGTAAGAGTAAAGTCTTTGAACAATGTTATATAAAATAATAGTTACAGTAAAATTAGTCAAAAGGGCACCATGTATTAGTGCCTTATGTTTATTTCACAAGTTCAATGATTTTCATCTAATATGCAGTTTCTGAAACATTGTTAAAGTTATGATTGATTATATCATGCCATGTTGAAAGTTTGTTTAATGTTATATCTCTTGTTGATATAGCAATAGAGTACTAGTACCAACAACAAAAGTGTAAAATTATTATAAAAAGGTTCCTATTATAAA